TGTTCATCTTCATGAACTAAAACTTAACTAGTCCTGAAATGTGTGGCATTTGAAGATTTTTGTTCAACCTAAAGAGTGCTGCCTGATCAAGCATCTTGAGTATTTCAGTAGCTGATTTGTTGAGCTTCATGTGCAATTTGATTCAGTTAAATTGCTTGAAGTTTCTGTCTGTATTTCTGAGATGAGGTATTATGTACACTATTTACATTATTCGGACTATTGTCCTCATCTTTGTCGCCATATTTATTACAACGTTTCAGCTGTTGTACACTCCGGCCTTCTTCAGTTGGTTGGAATGTCGAACTGAACCCTTTGTTTCGCTTACTGGGGTAGACTGTTCTAGTTCCACGTGCCATGTTTAATGGATATCAGTTATCAGTTATCTCCTGTTAATTCCCCTGTCCAAGTTCTCCATTGCCTTAACCGGGTAATGAACTCACACTCTTTGGGTCCTGTCACTGGATCTAACCAACGCCTTTATCCACTGTGCCTTGTGTCCTTCTGTATGAATTTCTGGGTATTATAAACCTAATGTCATCAGCAACCGTTTTTTACCAGTGCTCATATTGCAATTTTTTGCAGTTATCATTGCATGTTTTTACCAGAGCTCATATTGCAATTTTTGTTGTTATTATCACTTTTCTCTGGCACTCCTTATTACTTGTTCCCATATTGTATTCATTTCTATACTTGGTTAGCTCAGGAGATTTTTGTGGCCTAGCATATGTGCCGATTCCTTAAGTTGACAAATTTTCCAATGGTGGTTTTTGTCTATGATTTCAACCTGACCCCACAGAGGGCAGTGATCTCCCTTTTCTCTCCATATGTGGTCAGCCATGCTTGATTTTTCCTTGTGTTACAGTGAAGTAAAGAGTTCAGTTCAACATTCCAACCACCTGAAGAAGGCCAGAGCATACAATGGCTGAAACATTGTAATAAATATGGCAAAAAAGATGAGGACAATAGTCTGAATAATGTAAGTAATGTTGCTTGAAGCTGTTAACCATTGTAAAGTTTACAGAACCATCCCAGCAGAATGTTAGAAAACATTGCATAATAACTGACAATGTTTCAATAGTGTAAATCCTATTGGCAGACTGATCCAGTTGGCCAGTTATATTTACTGGCCACCCTCACCAATGCTCGATGTAGCACAAGGTGCTTTTAATGTGGGAAGTGCCATACACATACTTATACATATGGGCCAAGGGTAAAAACTGATCCTGCTGTCATCGCTATTACACCGGCCCAATCACTTTAGTGCAATGAGGAAGGTGCTGTCGCAGGGTTAGAATCCCTGAGGCTGAGCAACTTCTTCCATCTAAAAACAGGAGAAGCATAGCTCCACTTACAGCGCAGGGGGGCGTTAATGACACCTCAATAAACCCCCATTAGCAATGTTTAACTCCTGTGCCAGTAGGCTATATACCAATAAGCAGAGATGTATGCACATTTCTGTTGAACAGAGCAATCACGACACATCAGCTTTCCAAGACCACTTTATATGTAATTGATATTTACTCTTGAATTAAATGCATTGTCAAAAATTAATAGGCCTTCTTTTCTCTCTAGTGAATTGTCTTATTGATTTTCCTATCTATTTATTATGGCCTCATTAATTTTGCTCTTTTCGATGCACAACATGTAGAGTGAGATCCGGAACAGAATTTGAGGTAAAAAATATAAAAAAAATTCAGAGCTTAATTAACAACCATTTTCTCTCTACCACTAGAAACATTTTATTTTGTTAGTACAGAAACTGAGTAATGCTAAACAAGGGTGTGGGTGTGGTGGAGTAATAGTAAACTAAATGATAAAAGCAGAAGGTTTGTTTACATTTACTGAGTTCAAATACAGTCGGTACTAAAATTCCTTTTGTTATTGTTTCATTTTTCCTTCCAATAGTGTTTGCTCTGTCATAATACTCATAAAAATGAAAGGAAAAAAGTTTTTGTGTTTGTTATTTCATTAGGAACAAAGAAAAGTGTGCCTTGTAATGTCCATCCTCCTGTATGGCAGTGAATGCTGGACAATTTCCTCACAGATGAAGAGAAAACTTGAGGCATCAGAAATGGGATTCTACAGAAGGCCTGAATGTCCGAGAAATTTTCACTGAGGAATTATTTCTGTGAAAATTTCTTGGACATTCATGCCGGTAAATGTTGTTTAATAATGTTTTATTATAAACAGAGCATTTACTTAAATATTTGTATCTATAAAAAGAATGTATAAACATAAAAATGTCTTAAAATAATTGTCGGACTTTGTCCATTTCATAATGTTGATCTTTCAAGATTGTTTATAAATATATATATATATATATATATATATATATATATATATATATATATATATATATATTTGTCTTTTAGGCATCTTTGATTAAATAAATTACAAACATTATGTTTGTTTATTTTTAACATAATTCTTATATATATAAATGTGTGTGTGATTAGCAGGTGAAAAGTTCTTAGCCTAACCAAAAAGGATTGCCCCCAGTTTCTGATGTTAGATCATTTTGTCATATTTTGGGAAGTGGGATTTTATCAAGAACTTTTCAGTCCTCACTAGTGTATCACTTGCATGCACACATACACGTATATACACACACAAATGAGATAAAGATAAAGCTTTCAAGAATTATGTCTACTTTTGTTTTCCATTGTCAGATGCTTTGGTTGGCAACACAGGGTTTTACTTTCAGCCAATTTGTGAAATGAATTCGTGTGAGGCCCTCATCAACCAGAAGATACAAGGTGAAGCACTGGAATGTGTATTAAAAAGCTGTTAAACCGCAGGTTACCACCAAAGTGGAGATCCCTTTTCCCAGAGATTTTTTTTTGTTTTTTTTTTTTCGGGTGTTTATGTTTTTCACTTGCCTTGCTTTCTTTCTAACTTTTTTTTCAATGAAAAATAGCAATAATATTAATAATAATGATGATAAAGAGTGACAGTAACACCGGCAGTTACACCTTGAGACATCTGAAAAGCATTTAGCAGACCCTCTCCTTGCCTTTCCTACCACTCCACTGACCTCCCTGAAAAAAAAAAAAAAAAGATGAAACAGAACAAAACCAAAAACGGAAGTACTAACAGATTTAGGGATTTTTTTTTCCCCTTGCAGAAGCTGTGAAAATACTGACTGGCACATTCTGTCATCAGGGTGAAAATAGCTCCACCCCGTGCAGAAGTGTTTTTGTGGCATTATATCTCTCCAACAGAAGGTTGTTCATTGTGAGGTGTTTCAAGGGTGCACTTTTATCAGCTTGCTTCGTTTTTTCCTTCTATAAATTACTTTCTTATTATTGTGGCTTTCCTTTTGCCGGGATTGGGTTTTTTCTGGGATCCCAAGCAACCAGATGTTTTTAATCCTAATCCCAACAACAACATCAAATTTATTCATAGTTTCTGTACTGGGCTTAAAAAAAATTCAACTAGTTAATCACCCATTTTTTATCTTATTTTAAAAAAAAATTTTTTGACAAAATCCATATACATAACATGCAACATCTATCCATGTGTCTGTCCGACCCTTTCACAGATATTATACTCTAATTCTAAGCAGAATATGCAGATACTACACTCTGATTCGAGGATTTGGATCAAAGATCATCATTTTAATCATAGTGCATTCAGATATTCTGATCCAAAGCAGAGGAACTGATTCTTATATAAAATACTCCATCATCTTTTTAGGGATACTTTTATGTGTACTGTTGACTTTTCTTAAACAAAATGTTAGGAAGGAAACTTCCATCAATGGTAGAAAGAGTTATAACAGTTAATGGACTTAAGAAGCCTATTTTCCTAAAAAAAAGTTATAAGAGAAAGAGTTTATGAATTTCAACTGAGAGTTCAGTCAATGAATGCCAAAAATTTTCTGTATGGAAATGGTTAATCTCACTATTACCATGTTAGTTACTGTTAGAAATTAAAGCAAGAAATCATAATATTAAATTTGCCAACTTTTTTTAAAAAGTTAAGCAGAATTCAAGTTGCTTTACAACAAATGAGTGACTATTTAAGATCTAAAATTTAGCAGAGAATAAAGTAAAGCCTGATATTGAATGATTATGAATGATTATGATCACACATGGCATTATTCAAAAGTAATGAAAGCTTTTATTTTCAGTGTTTTTTTTTCCCCAAAGTATTGTTACATTTTTCTAAAATCATTTTTGTAAGTTTTCTTTTTTGTCTAAAATGGCTATGTTGGCCCATTTTATTCATTCACCATAGAATTGTTTATTTGAATAAAATAATCCAGTTGTTGACAATAAATGTCTTGATTTTCCACTTTCAGGGTACTGGAGCATTATTTTGTTACTGTTCGTTGCTATCATTGTTGTTGCTGCTCTTCCTCGTTCAAAATGAATCGACTTCATATTCCAGGCAAGGTAAGGACATGTAACTTTTCTCTCTATAATTGGCAATTATAAGGTTAGTTGTGAGATTTCTAAGAAAGATAATATTGTAATAAATGTCATAGGTGTAGCTTATAAACAAACATTTTATTTTTATATAAATTGTACAAATTACAAGTTATTTGTCTATAATAGGATTGGTTATAGAATTCAAATTCTGGAGGGGAAAAATTTCCATATATATTAGTCCCCATTTATTTGCAAGTTATATGTTTGAAAAATCAAGAAGCAAATGTGTGAAACCACGTATAACACTTAATGTTAGATATACTATGCATGCATGTGATATAGCCTAATCTATAAATTACACACAATAATTGTTATTGTTTTTACCCCAAGCAAGGCAAGAGAGACACTAAGATGCAGGGTGTGAAAGAATATAAGAAAAACATTATTAAGGAGTGAGAACAATAAAAGAACAGAATTTAAGAAGACCGATAATGATTGACATTGCATTTAAATTTTTGAAAATCAAACTTGACTAGTAATCAAGAAGCTTGAAGAGAGTTCCTCAAATGAGAAGTGCGAGAAAAGAAACTAATAGCATAGAACTTAGAGGGTTTACAGAAACATCACATTGAAACATCAGTTCCTGTATAAACAACAAAGCTAAGCAACATTGAGCCTGGACAGTACTTAGATGGGTGACCTTTTGGGAGCAACAGGTGCTGTAACCTTGGATGTACAGGTGGTGTAATGGATAATGGCTCAGAATTGTTAATTGGAAAGGCGAGTTCCAATTCCTGTTGTGTTCATTATATTCACTTACATGCAAACACACTTAGGAAAGGTATGAATCCACCTCTTCTTTTTAATTAGTAAGACTTGTATCACTAAATCATTATCTCAAAAAAAAGATTCTTACTATCTAAAAAATATTTTCTGGCTTTAAATAACCTGCAAAGAATTGATAAGCCGTAGAAAATGAATCAACCAAAAAAATTACAGTTACATCTAACTATTTTGACTGTAAAATGATGAGAGCTTGCTGCCAATCAAGTAATGTACTTAAATTCAGAGAGTCTAGGTATAATAGAGGAAGGTGATATTTATTCTGTTCTCTACAGAAATGTGGCACAAGGCCAAAAAAGGGGATTGGGGAAAGGACGGTCTTAACTATAACTTAGCTAGCCGCAAACACTAACCCAATCGTATGAACAATATTCCTTGCACTAAAACAACACATTCATACATACCTTTCTTACTACAACCACCATAATACTTCTTTGTCTCTATGAAAATACTAACTAGTCTCCATATTTACAATTCATTGTCTGTCGGGGGAGGGGAATAAAACAACAATTCTATAATAATAGAGGAGGGTTCATCAGAATGTTTACCATGAAAATATTTATAGAAAAGGCAGAGGGAAGCTACATTACAGAAGGTGGATAAATGACTGCAGCCAGGACGAACTTATGAATTATATGCAAAGCCTTCAACTCTTGAGTGTTGTTAAAATATAAAAATCTGCAATTTGTGTTTATAGAAAACTGATTTTGAAAAAAAGAACTGCTCCTTTTTGCAAAAAAAAAAAAAAAAGGGACCAAGCAGTCATTTCTTTAAGTAAAAACTTGAAAGGCAGACTGGGCTCTATAGCTGTTGTTGGCAACCAGAATAAGAGAAGGACAACTTTAAATTCATGTAGTCCTGGCAAAGCCAAGACTCTGCAGCCAATGAAAGGATTGTTGAGTTCATCAAGATCATTCTGGTCATGGTCATTTTGCATCTCGTTACATGAAATCAACACCTTACTGGTGGGGTTCGAAGAGACCAAAGGAAATAATTTAATCATGTCAGCACTCGTATATGGTATGTTAAAACCAAACCTGTTCGAAAAAAAAAAAAAATACAGTGAGTCCCCCATGTTAGTGGGGGTTAGCTGCGAATAGTTAGAATCCGCAAATACTTGTAACCTCACTAAAAGTGCTAATAAGTACCTATTTTGATTGTTAAAACCCCATATACCTTAAAATTTCATCCTAAACAATTTAGAAACATTTAAGGCCCTTTTTAAAACATTTTTGAAAAATAGTATTAGTGACCATACACTTAGCGTAAATTTTCTTTCATACGTACAATAACCATTTTTAATTACGCATAGATCGATACAACCACTGAAAATACTGTATAAAATATGTGTAACAAGACATAAAATATAAAGTTTAAAACACTTTTTAAAAAAAGAACTGTGATGATTCCCTCAGACTTAGCATATACCCCTCTTAAGACCCCAGCTGCAGCCCTTAACAAAGAACAAAGCCCAAGCACTACACATGTTTTTGCATTTGTTTTTTTACAATGAAGATGTACAATTTTGCCAATTTTTACCTTAAAAATGACTGTTATATGTTTTAAGTCATTCAAATAACAGGAAATTAATACAATAATATTTTAAATATGTTCTATCGAAAAAATATGTGAATCAAGGGAGTTCTCAGGGAATAATTTCTACATATGTTCTTCAGAAAAACATGTGAATATTCGGGGTTTCTGTGAATAACAAGTACATATGTTCTAAAGAAAAATCCATGAATACTGAAATGCAAATAGGTGGAGGCTCACTGCATATCATAACATGTATAATTATTATTTTTTATTATAAAAGATTATTTTGTTTATTCAGCCTTAATATTGCTATGTATTGCTGTCTAGTTAGTATTATTAATATTTTATATAGATTTTCCACATTTTTAATTTCATCTACAGGCCTCTTTAAGAAGCTTCCTGAATATAAATTTAAAAAAAAAAAAAATTCTGTTAGCTTTACGGCTGATTAACCTACCTCTCCCTTCAACACCCTTTCAAAAAATTGAACATGTCGTCATATTTGTCTACAATCAAGATACATTTGTCACTGACATATTTTCCACAGTCACCAATGATGGCCTGTCTATATTTCCAGTTTATCATGACATGAACAAAATAACTTCCCCCACCTCCCCACCTCTGAGCTTACTTTTCTATTTAGCATAGATCTGACATTTAATTGGTTAATCAAGACATACCCACAAGTTTAATTTTAATTCTGACGTTATGTCCCCCCGCCACACACTTTAACTTTTGGAAAAGAGGTAACAATTTGTTTTTAAATTTTAAAATTTTTTTGTGTTTGTTTTAACTATTGTACTAAGCCTGAGGAATCCATTATTTTCTGTTGCAGCTTGAAGTAGGGAGGCCACTTCCTTTCTTCAAGTCGACATGTGAGGTGGATTTGTTTTGAAGTTACCATCTTCTAGCCTCTTGCCTAAAGAGGCAGAATCTACAAGGCAGCAAGTGTTTTGAATTCAGAGTTTTCCTTCTCCTAGACTGGTTGCCAGCCAAGACTATAGGACCCAGTCCGTTCTGTTATTTACCCATAGCTGTCAGGAGAAGAGATTGATTCATACCTTTCTTAAATGGATTAGCACATAAGTGAATGAAGTGAACCTGACTGGAATTCAAACTCAACTCTTGATTCCTCAATATCAGCTGCTATCCATTACTCCACTGTACCTTCTGGTTCAGTATCAGAGACATACGACTTCTTTTATGTGCCATATTCCTTCAGGACATGGTCAATCATGGCTCTCCACAGCTTCCTATCCTTTGTAGCTATAAGCAACATTTTTCTACTTACTATCCCTCCCAATTTCTGCTCTGCTATCTATTTACATAAATTTGGTTATTTGCTATTTTCTTCTGCTACCCCCCCAAGAAGGTTGTCTTGTATTAAATTTTGTAAGTCATCTTTCCTCATTATGTATCCCAGAAATGTCAACTGTCTCTAAGCCTAAGTGTCCTTTTCATTTTACTTAATACTTCCTTATTTATCACATGCTTGCTCCACGGTATTCTTATTATCATTCCATAGAACCACATCTCTTTTTGCTTCAAGTCTCTTTGTGAAGAAATTGTCTAGCATTTGCTGCCATATGTGAGGATAGATATGATATAGAGGTTCAGCACCCATTTTCTTTGCTTCTAACAAAATTTCGCAAAACATTGCAAGGACGAACTAACTGATTTGAGTTATATTCCCTAACACGAATAGGAATAAGAATGAATTATACCTGCTGATTGAATGAATTGTTTGATTTGAAATTCTTGATAGGTTATTTTATGTCAGACCACTTTACAAGTGCTACTGTTACCATGTAACACAGTGCTACCTGTCACATGACTAAACCAGTGCACCCCCCCTCCTCCTGCACCTGACTTTTTTGATGGGGTGGGTAGCTAGACACCTAGCAGGATTAAAAACAAGACCCATCTCTATAGGTCCATCTTGTAGGGTTATCAAAGAAGATCCTTCTTGTGGGTTCGACAACTATCTAACACAATGGTGTAGACTTGGCTCTATATGGATGCAGCCAGTTTTGTGATGATATGACATTGCTGGATGGAGGGTTTCCTTGACTGGTCATCAGCACTGGGTAGAGGGTTCACCTGATGAAATCAATGGCCATATATCTGTGAATTAGACAATCCTTTAAGTTGGAGAATCTTGGAAAAGGACTGTGTCAACCAAGTGTACTTGCTGTAGACTACAATATGCATAAATCAATACCTCTTTGGATTTTAACACACATGTGGAGAGAACTGGCCAGGTGCTAACTTGGTGGCTTTGATGATGAAGAGTTATCATTTACACCTTCCACCTGAAAAAGATTGATGTGTACAATGGCCAACATATGACAATAGAAACATTTATGAAGACGCTCGTCCAAAAGTGTCATTGCATAATGCCGACAATTCCTCATTTAAAAAGATCAGATAAAATTTCTCAGGATATGTAGTTCAGGGCATTGATTTTAATCATAAATTCTCCATCTTTTTTTTTTCTTCTTTCTTTTTAAATTTACATTTAACCCTGGGACATTACAAATTAACACATCTAATAATTGTTTTGCTTTGTTTCAGATTCACAGGAAAAGGTGACAACAACAACAACAACAACAAAAAGCAAATTAAAGAAGATGAGGTTTTAATGCAGAAAAACTATTTACAATTGAAAAAAAAAAATAAAACTAAGACAAATCAAAACTACAGACAAGTTAATCCCTTCATTAAATGGTTGTATTTTTCAATTATCCAGCACAAACACGTATACAAAAATTACTGACAGACAAATCATTTTCTTTGTACATTGAAGACTAAATAAAGCTCAACATATTTGATGATAATCAATTATGTTTTATTTCAGAATAAAAAGCAGTTATTTCACTTTTTTTTATTTCTTTAAACAGCAGGGATCATCAAATACCAAGTACAAGTCAGGCAATTATTTACTGTATTTTTTAGTATATAAGATGCCTCTCTGTCTAATATGCACACTTGTTTTGAAAACAGTTAAAAAAAAATGGGAGGACTATATTGTTTTTGAAGGATATTTATAAAAAATTTGTATATATTGTTCTAAATAAAAAATAACTCGAAATAATAAAATATCATTAATCAAAAGAAAAAAAACGGTTTGCTGTTATTTAGCTTGGTTCAAAACTCTACAAAATCCTGTTGCTTTCAATATCACTTGGAAAGGAATCAAACATTTCATAATTGGATCCAAAATTATAATCAAAGACAATGCCAGCCACGGTTCCATCCATTGCATTAGTGATACTACACTTCTTAATTGACTTAATCACTATATCAGTTCTCAATAAGTGTTCATCTTTTCCTACATATTATTCAT